CTGACCTAGTTCAGGTTCACCTCCCCAAATACTTACTTTTTTTTTTTTTACAGTGAACAGATTCTAATCTGACTGTGATGGAAATACTTGCATCAGTTTTTTCTGCTTTAAACCTTGATCTCAAGATTGTAAACTGTAGGAATCTAAAGAATGTCGAACTGCCAGAAAGGTAACAGAGGCAGTCAGATTATATTTTATCATTGGTGGGTTTTTTTTTTCAATTTTCTTTCTTTTTGTTTATTTGTTTTATTTTCACTGCAACTGAAAAGTGCTGTCTTTGCCCCTTCATCCTTTTATCACAGGTTTTTTTCTGTTCATGGTTTTGTGATCTGAAAGAAATAAGAGTAATAAATATATCACATAATATAATATATAAGTAATCCTAAATAAATAAATTATTTTTTACAATGAGTGACGAGTGTAGTTTTCATTATGAGCCAGCATCTTCACAGACAGTCAAAAACCTCACAGCAGGAGTTATGAAATCACACTCAACATTAGCACATGTTCACACTTTATTAATAATAAAATAACACAATGGATATAAACTGGGGAAAGGCACAAAAAATGCATCAAAACTGATGAAGAAAGTTGATAAAACAGGTAACTTCACTACAGAAATGTTCTCATGATCTTCACAAACAAAACTCTTTTCCTCCATAGAAAAACATTTAGGCGCTCCAAAGAGATTTCAGTGTTCCCCAAAGGAAAACGATGAAAACTGTCATTTTAACTTATTATTATGATGGTTGATTTTTAACTATTTGCAGTCTAGACATACCCACTCCCAGACGCAATCAATCTGAACTAGAAAAACTCCAAAGATGGATAAAAACAAACTCAAGATAAGTTAGACATTTACAGCTGACTACTGTCTGCTGGATTCCCGTCACTGTGAACTCACATCTGTCTTCAGAGCATCTGTCTTTTTGCTACGAAAGGTGGGACGAGTGACACGAGTGGAGCGTTTCAGCTTGCTGCTCGTCTGGGAAGTGCTGTTTTTTTCTCCTTCTGTATTTTCTGTCATTTTTATGTAGTATATTATAGTTGCGAAAAGAACTATAGAAAGCACAATAACAACTGTTAGTCCAACAGCCCCATCCTCTCCGTGTCCTCCTGGCTGACCTGCAGGTGAGAAACAGGTGTGAGGTGTCAGCTGTCAGGTATACACAAGCTTCACCTCTGATCACAGGCAACATCTTTTTGTGCATTTTGAGTTATCAGCTCACAGCCAAGCAACTCTGACAATAACTGAATGTGTCCAAAGCCAAACTGAATTCCACTGACTTACCTGGTGAAATAACCTTTAGCTGGATGACGCTGATGGGCTCAGTCTTTAAAACGGCCAACTTTCTACCTTCTCTTACTTCATGGACGACACAACACTCATATGTTCCACCATCAGCAGTCGTCACATCCTTCAGAATTAAAGACACGCCTCCATCCTTCATCTGTCTGTCCTGCAGATCCACCCGGTTCTTAAAAGATGGATGCTGCTCTTCTGTATCAAGCTTATCGTCTCGGTAAAAAAGGACATATTTTTGCTCCAGGTCAGCTCTGCTCCACTCTGCAGCTATGATGGGGTTGCCGCTGTTTGGAGCTCGACATGGCAGAGTGACCGTCTGTCCTGGCACAGCTATGATGATTTTCTGGTCTGAAAGAGGAAACAACAGAGCGGTTAAAGAGATGCAAGTAAAACCAGTCACTACACAGTTGGGAGCTACTGCGAGATAAGTGAGCTTTTTACTGTAAATTGCTTCAGACAAACACAAGGGGCACATTCATTTAAAGACTGACTGAATTACTTACTTATATTTGTGATTTCAATTCACTTAATGAACTTAATGTACTGACAGCACCACAAACTGTTTCATAATTCTATATTACTCAGTTTATAAACACAGCTTGGTCTTCACTAGCTCTTTTACATCTCTGCTGTAGCAGTGACAGAAGTTGGTCAGATTGTTTGTAGGCATTTAACACTAACAATATTCAGTCATTTAAATACATTTCTCTTCAATCAGGCTACCAACTAATATAATTCCTATACCCATGTTGATCAGCCAATGGGATCGTTTTCGAGAGAGATGCAGACGTTACAGCAGACATTGTTGTGTCATATTTCAAATATCAAGTTTCAGAGGAGGTCTACTGTTCACTCTGTGTTTGGGGTCAGCAGTACTCAGTTGATCCATTTTGTGTGGAAGAAGAGTGAAATGATGAGTCCAACAACTCTCTTTTTTATGTGAAAAGGACCAGTGAGCACTGATCAAGAAGACGGGGTTAAAAGAGATAGTTGATGACCTTCATCAAATCACCTTTATGACTCAGGTTTTAGGTTTTTTGGCCTAGCTTTGCAAGGGAATCCTAATGAATCTCGCTTGCAAAGGTAGGCAGTAAAGCTCAGAACAGCCATTTGTGCTTCACTCAAACGACTGATAATGGAGTATTAATCTGGAATCTTGCACCGAAGTCTACTAAATTCAAGTTTTACAT